CCCCCCCCCCCCTTAATCTGCTCCTGCACAAATGTACCTCTTAAGTCAAGTGGAATAACAGCAGTCCAACCGTCAGCGTCCTCATCATCCCTTTGAAAACGCTCCTTATTTGTTTTTAAACCTCTATTATTTTGCTCCTCTAAGGGTTCAGAGTTGTCAGTTAACCTGATGAAGGCCAAAATGCAGAAAAAAAAGTTTAACACGGGTAAATTTATTCTGAATTTAAAGAGTGTATTGTAATTTAAGATTTATGAACACTTCATCAGTGCATTTTAAATTACTAAGGTACAGTTTGAGAATTCCCACAAACCTTTCATAACTCCACAGCTTTTCTTGGAGCTCTAATTTACTCATTTCTAAACTGGTCACTTGTTCTTGTAAGGCCACCACATCCACCTTCTGCATGATGAGAAATTATAATTTAGGTATTAGAGCAATGCACAGGATGAGTGGATACATTAGATAGAGTACTAATACAAGAGGCATACCAGCTTTTCTAATAGCTGAATATCTGAAGTTAATTCTCTTAATTCAGCTGGGGCAGAGGCACAGGATTCTATGCCATCCCCTATCTGCTCTGGAAAATGATCAGTTTGGCATCCCTCATCCATACTGGGCTGTTTTAAGCAGCCTGATTGCCTCATGTGGTCACGGTACAGTTGGAGCAGCTCAGCTGGCTTTGGGATATTAAGACCAACATCATCCCAATCCTCAAAATCCTAGGAAGAAAAATGGTTTATATAATAATCAGGATCTAGACATAAACTTTTTACCAGGATTTGAAAAATGACACTACCTGCTTTTCATTTTCATCAGCAAACGTAATTGATGTAAGCTTGTAACCATGTAAGAGCAAGTACTCATTGATAAGAAAATTGAGAGCGCGCTGTTCATGGGGTTTAACAGGTTCACTTCCAAATGATTTTACTGCTGTGCCATCCGGTGTAAGCGTTTCTGACTCTAAACATGAAATAATAGTTAATTATGACTCTAAACATGAAATAATTGTTAATTAAAAAAAAAGTAATGAAAATACTGGTTTTGTTTAGATTATAAGAGAAATTATTAACCTGTAGCAACAGTTAAATTAGCTCTTAAAGCAGTGATGGTTTCTTTTGCCTTTCTCAGTTCAAATTCAAGAACAGCAATCCTTTCATCAATTCCTCTTTCCCCATCTTCTGAATATCTTGTCAAATCCAAAGAGTCCAAAGTAGCTTGACTTAATGAGCGTGCTGGAAACATAATAATGACATAAAAAAAACAATAAAATAAGACCTACCCAGGTAACACCTCAACAAATAAATATTGGAAAAAAGAAACAAACTGAAATTCAAATTTAAGGTACAAAATATCAAATGGGGCACTTGTAAAAAGACGGACTGCTTTGCTTATGAATACTTACGAATAGGTGAAGATAAAAGTTCTGGCTTAGAGACAGTTAGTTGTTCAAAGTTTCCTGGGTTTGAGAAAAATACTCGGAGTTTGGGAAGTTCCTTCCCAGCCTCAACAAGCTCTGCATGGAGTTCCAGCGCAGTGAGAAGCAAGTTGTCATTCAAAAGTTTGGTAGCTATGTCATGGTAACTGATATCATAGGTATCACTCTGGAATCTCTCGTGTTTCGTGTCAATGCTCTCTTCCCCATCAAAAGGATTCGCTGCTGTTTCATTTGAACTCATCGCGAACAGGATAACATTCTAATTCACCGGATTAAAGTGACTTTAAGCCAAACATTACAATGAATTCTGCTATAACCTCCACAACATGTCATCATAACATACTATACGCCCCACAGTTGGTTGTGCGAACAGTGACCTACGAGTTATTCACCCATACACCTTTGTGCGCACACCAACGCAAGTACAATTCTTAAGAAGTATGTAGCCCCACCAAGTTCGGGGCTCCTATCGTAGAGACCCCTGATGAAAGCAAAATGCGCTGATTCGACCGTTACCTTAATTTTTTTTCGACCCACTTTTGAAGCGTTTCCTCGTTGCATGGCCGGGTAGGCAACCCACATGCCACTTTCGATTGACTCACATTTTGATTTGCTATGAGCACCTTGCCCCGTAAGAAGAAGAAAAGAAAATGGTGGCGTAGCGTTGCGCGGTCTCACAACAAAGCAGAAAGCCACATCGTGCAATATCGTTTTTAGTCAAAGTATCATATTTCAAATTGATATGTACCTAGTACCGTGGGTACTTCAAACAAAAATTTATCAAATAACGTCCACAAAACCGTAGATGTGAGAATATTGGTATCAGGTTATGTTGCTTTGTTGTGAGACCGCACTACGCTACGCCACCATCTTCTTTCTGTTCTTCTTACGGGGCAAGGTGCTCATTCGCCACCGTTCAGTGCGAGTATATTGCGGGTATGTTTGAGTACATTCTTCCAACTGGTTGTCCCACAGTGCATGGTGCTTTGGTGTTCATAACATTTTTAATGTTGTTCACACGGATAACTCGTAGGCGCCTCTGTTCCCACCAACGGTGGGGCGTATAATGGTATCCGGCGGGAAAAGTTTCAAGCAGCTGATTGAATGACTGTGTCTGAGGAAACGGATATGGTGCACTAGACAGTTCTACCAAGACGCAATAGTGCAAATAATGACAAATAATCAAGAATTAAAGGGATCCGTTTGTGTATCAACAGAACGAGTAATTTTAATTTTATTTCCTAACAGTTTCTTGCTCAAATACGTTCAAGATATCACAGATTAAAGTATTTACCAACTTCAATGAACTATTGAACAGTTGCACATGCCACGATCCGGTCCCAAGTCGTCGTCCGTATGCAAAAATGGCAGCGTGAATTTGTTGTGTAGCTGTTGCTTTTATATGTTTGCTGGGATTTATTTGATTTGATTACGAGCTGTCCTCTTGTGTGACGGCTGTTTAAAATGTGTGCCATAAAGTAACACACGGTACAAGTGTCATGAGTGAGAGAGAACAGAGGTAATGTAGAAAAATACTGAGGTGATGATCACCAGCAACATCAACAAGGTGAAGGCTTGTAAAAGCCTTAAAGATCAACAGAAAGACTCGGAGCCAGAGAAAAAGAATAAGATACTCGAGAAAGGAGAAGGGGACAAGGAAATTAACAAACGGAGCCCCGGTCAACTGGTTGTGCCCGTTGGTACAACCGGTGTGGCGAGGGGTAAAGAGCAGAAAACACAAGCTCGAGGCCGTGCCAGGGATGATTTCAGAATGGCTCGGGGCGGGAGCGGTTCTGTGGACAAACGCGGTGCTTACAGAGGCCGCGGTGTGTACAATAGAAAGTCAGATCGCGAGGTAGATTCTTTCGGCTCCCGCATAATTAAAAACACGTCTGATCCGGGCTCTGGTTTTGCCAAACAACATGCAGACTCCAAGAACAAAACAGGTAAACCTAACCTCAAATTTATTCAATGATTTTGTGAAGTTAACATCATTATTTTGCCATGACACTCTGTGTAATTTATTGCATTATGCTCACTGTATCTTGTCATACTCAAAGATTACGTTGTTCATGTGTTGTGTACCTTTAGGAAGGTGTCATACTAGTTATTTGTGGTAATGCTTACTATTGTTAATGACATGATTGTTTACGTCGCAGATCTTGGGTCAATGGTTCCTGAAGATTGTAGAATATCAAAAGTCCTACGACGTTTGTTTCGTGAAGAAGATTCAGACAAATTTATTCAGCTCTGTTTGCAGCTGCAGGTAAAACCCATAACAGCTGTTACGTTTGTAATCTGTCAATTCTTTTGGTAGTGTACATGTTATGCAATATTCCATTTACTGCCTTTCTCCAGGATGCACTCACTGTCCCGGAAAATATGCAATACATTCGAAGATGCCTGGAAAATATCTTAGATGCTCTTCTTGACCTCCTCCACACTGGACCTGGAAGTTGTGCCAAATCTCAAGTTGCTACCTCGATTGGTCATGTAGGATACATTCTTGATTCAGAATTCAGGAGGTAAGTTGTCCTTCCTTGTTTTAGTACATTGTTTTATAAGTTTTCAGTTGGTTTTCACTTTAATTGCTTTACCTTTAAGGTTTGTCGATTGGATTTTCCCAAAGTACACAACTGAGAGAAACACAGATGTTAAATGCCTGTTGCTGGAATCTCTTCGCCAGGTAATTTATGTTTTTGTGACACTGTACATGTGATTTAATTAACTCTTAATTGTCATTTTTATCTTGACTGTAGACACTTGTATTGGAAGCAGAGTGCCCTAAATTAAAAACTTATTCAGTGGTGAGTATGTTTGATTGTTTAATTGCTCAGAATGAGCCAGAATACTTTTATTCATCCAATTTATATTCTTTCTATCTGATTTAGACTCTCATGATGAAGATGCAACATATATTAGAGAACACAGACCTCCCTGACTTATTTGTTGCTAGTGTTGAAGTCATCATGCAACTCTCCACCCTGTATCCTGACACCTTGACAGATTATTTTAGGGTAAGTTTAAATTCATACTGAAAAACAAGTAATCTTAACAATTAATGATTTCATTCTGAGAAAATTCATTTTGTATTTTCCTCTTGTAGGATCTTGTTGATATTTTAGTTGGTTGGCTAATTGACAGTAGTCAGACTGCTAAGATGACTGACTATGCTGCAAAAAGTCTACAACGACTTGCCCCTTATTGGATTCAAGAATTGAACTTTTCAATCACATTCTTAGGCCAATTTTTAGAAGATATGGAAATTTATGGTGATGTAAGTTAACTATATTCCAAAATTTAATCTGTGGTAATTGGCTAGTCTAATTGCGTTCTGTTCTTATCTCAAACTTTTTTCACCCTTTCATCATCATCTAGGATTTTGTTAAATCATTATCTCCGAACAAAGGTGATGTTTATAGTGACTCCAAGTCCTCCACACCACAAGACTATTTGTTCAAAGTAGAAGCTTTTATTAAGTAAGGTTCCAAGTTAAATGAGAGTATATTTCTAAAATGCTCACAATCTTCTAAATATTTTCTCTTTTGTGGATCTTTGTAGATCTTTTAACACAGTAACAAAGGCTTTGGACGATCATATGAGCCCATCTAATTCTTCCCAAGTCACCTGGGTTTTTCTTGGTGACTGTCTCACTAAAATGCTCACCACTGTGAAGTCTGTACTCGATGTAAGATTCAATGAAGACCTAATTATGTCAGGTAAAAAAATTTTCCTGCTCTGAATCTGAAAATTAAATTAGTCATACCCTTGTCAGTCATTAAAAAATTTCCGTTCTAGCTAATGAATGTATTTGGCTGCTCATGTCTCATCTTCAAACTAAAACGACACCAGGCCATGATCTTCTGTATGACATGTTTGATGTGTTGTTGAGCCGTATTGATGACATGTGCAATGTTACAGTTTGCTCTGTGTTAAATGTTATTGCAAAGGTAAAGATTAATGTGTATATTTTTCTTTCCACTTGGTTCAATTAATTCAATGTACTTATCATCTACTTTTGCTTCCATTTATTTATTCTTATGTTGTGTGTACTCATTTGTGCTCAGACTGTTCGCGAAGTAAGTGCCAACCTACCTTTGGAATTGGTTCAGAAGTTACTAAGCCCAGATTCAAATGTGATAAAGCTGCGCTTCTCTCCAAGCAAGTCTGTTCAATCAGCAACTTTAAAATTATATCATGCCTTGTTAAACCTCAAGAACATTCCTTTACTGCAGGAGGCATATAAGTAAGTCCCACTATAACTTTTCTCCTTCCATTTTGTGATTTTTCCAAGTCCTGAGCAATGTATTATTTCTTTTCTTACCCCTTTCAGGTATGTGTTGGGTGATTTGGAAATAGCATATCGTCAAGTTGTTCCAGAAGTAGAACTTGTGTGCCAAACAAATCCATTTGCCGATGTAAAGTATTCTGTAAACGAAGCAGAAATGGTTATTCTCTTCCTTCTGGGTGCCTTGTCTGATCTAGGTAAAACCTTCTTTGATGATTTTAGCAACTGTAATTCATAGACAGAAATAACAATTTCTTGTATCGTTGATATTACATCTTAACGCTGTAAAAATCACTTTGTTTGTCTCTTTATTAAATTTTCAGCTAATGCAAGTAATTCTATAATTGGTATGTGGGCTCTGAAGCCAAGTATGTTTGAATTGCTGGCGTTGAGAATGAAGCCAAGGGAAATAAGGAAACACACATCCCTTCAGTTCACAGTCTTATACCTTTTATTTTCTCATTGCTCCAAGTAAGCTGTTGAACTTTTTTTCATGTTGCCCTCTGCCAGTCCAGAGACACCTCTCACAATTTTCCTCTTTTTATAGGTCAAATAATTTTGTATCCAGCAGTGGCTTGGTTCAGATTGGAACAGCAAACAGGAAACCAAGAATATTACCTGGTCTACCCTCAATAACATCTGATGTCCCGGTTTCATCACCAACCTCTTCTAACCTTTCAAACATACTTTTACTTGTGAAGGAAACGTTATTTGATGTTTGTTTTCCCCCTTTTCAACATTATTTCATTATTGTTTATTTAAATTATGAACATTGTTAAGATTTGGTTAAATTAATTCCACTTTTCTTTACAGAATTGTTCCATGGAGATTGATTTACTACTTCTCTCATGGGCTCGTGAACTTATAACTCAAGGTGCTGCTTACTTACCAACACTGGCAGAATCTTCTGAACTTCAAGCTGTATTGGCAGCTGTTGTTCTTAAAGGCCATTCAGCTCTCAAAAAACCACCCATATTGCTAGCTGTTTGTTGTACATTACAACTTATCTTTTCATTCCAACATATTCTTTGGAAGGTACTTCACAAATGACTTTAAATCATTCAAAAAAAAAAGAAAAAAGAAATAGATTTATTGCTTAGAAGCTTTAAATAAAAAAAGCTAATTCGTGTCATTTTTATTGCAGGCTTCTTTTCTATCATCAGTGACGGAATTGTGTCTTATTCACATCAATTCCACTTATGCTGATGTTGCTTCAGTTTACTCTCATCTGTTATCAGTCTTGCCCTGGAATATTACTTTGCCAATTCTTGCAAAAATGAATTTTGACATCCATATACAAGTGTGTACTACTGCAATTATTTCTTAAGTTTTCTTATACAAACATTCCAAATTTCTTTAAATCAGCACAATTTTCTCATTCTTTTTTTTCTTTTCCTGTAGAACCCAGATGGATGTATTCCTCAAAAAATACGTTGGACTCATTCCACTCACCTTTCAAAGAATGAAGTTGGCCTCATGGGCCAACAGGAGTTTAGGCAGTTTATGTGGTATCTTATTCATGGAGAAGAAGAAGAGTAAGTTTTCAATCCTAGCTCTTCTTCATTTTAGTATGATGAATTCTCCTAAAACATGTTCATTGTCTTCTTCTAAAATTTCAGACGTAGTTGGTTGCTTGATATTTTCAGTCAGTCTTGGCCCTTGGATCTGGCAAATAGTTTAAATGGTGATGTAGAGAATGGTCCAGATGTCAGCAAGACTTCCAATAATCAGAGAGACTTGAATGGCATCGCAAAATACTGCCAACCAGTCCTTTTGCAATGGGCTGCATGGGATGCTGCACAGTTTTGTGTCACATCTAAGCTAAGGACACCATTAGGAAAGCCACACGAGACATTTACAAAAATTGAAGGTGCTATCAAAGCCCTTGCAAGGGAAGTTGATGATTGTGAATCGTGGGATGTTATTAGAGTCCGTGTTCTAGTGGACTTTCTGGAACAACTTGAAAAAGTTATCTACAATGCAGCTGATGGTACAGCTCTTGCTATTGAGCCACCCCCTAAACAGGTGCGCAATTTTTTCCATACAAATCGAAGCACATGTGTTGAATGGCTGACCAGAATCCGTCTAGCTGTTGTTGCTGTTGCATTGCGTTCAGGACAAGCTGCTACAGCTGTTAGACAAGGTCATGCGCTGCTCCAGCACTTGCATGAAACAAATAATACGCAAGGTCTTGAGTTTGAGAGAGCTGCACTCTATGTAGGATGTGCTCTCAATCGTATGCAACAATCTGAATCAATTCAAGGGCTATACATTTGGTGCCGTAATGATTGTGGGAGAAAAATGCCCTTATTGAAAGGGCTGGCTGAGCAAGCTGCTGGTAGACTGGAGCATGCTGTGGATTGCTATTCTAAAATTCTGATACAAGACTGTGAGAATGACCATGCAGGAGGGGATTGTGATCTTAGAATGCGAGAAATAGCTGATGATCAGCTATCTGAGTGCTACAGGGCACTTCAAGATTGGGTTAAATTAGCTGAATGGAAGTCAAGTGAAAAGAATGTGTTTCCCACAAATGGTGGAATGTTATTGCTCTCTACTCTCAAGACCAACCAAGTCAAAGGTTTTGCAGATTATGAAGCTTCAAAATATGAAGCTGCAGCTCGCTTAATGGAATGGACTGCAGATAGTGCAAGTGATTTAATCACTCAACGTCGCACTTGGAACACTATGAAAATACTTCGTGCAGCTCACAGCAACCTGACTAGCATTGCTGTCGCATTAGCTGGGGAAGCTTCTGTACCTATTGATGATCATATAAAGTTTGTACTCCCCTCCTATTTGTTACTCTTGTGTGTATTTTCTTTACATCTATCTATCTAGTTTTTTAACGTTTATTTTATTATTATTTTTACAGGCTTAAGTGGAGTCAATATGTAGAGCAATGCCAAAATGATGCTCATCTTCTTCTAAAAGAAGGATTGAGAAATACAACATCAGAGCTACTCCTTGAAGCTTCAGTTACTGAGTATGCTGCAACTGGGCTTGCTGATCTACTGAATATCCAACACAGTGAAACTGGTCCACTGCTTTTGCCCCTATCAGCTGAAAGTTTGAACTTGAAATATCTTGATTCTGGAATTTTAAGTAATGCTCTGTGGTGGAGTGAATATTTGGAACACATGGGCATTTTGCTCCCGACACCATCTATCAGTGAGCTTCGTGTTGCAACTGCTCGGACAGCAAGGAAAGAAAAGAACCTGAATTTTGCACTATGTTTGTTGGGAAGGGAGCTTGGTGCTCCTGTTAAATCATCACTAGAAGAACTTGCTAAAATTGAGATTAATAACAAAGATCTAAACACACCTCTTCAGTTGAAGTCACTCACCGAACTTGCTAAAGTTCTTCACGCTGCTGACAAGAAAGACTATGCAGTCTGTGTAGTGGCTCATGGTGTTCAAAGTATTCGCAACAGTGAAAATGCTCTCTTACAAGAACGAGGCTCTCGACTGTTGCTGACTCTTTCAAAATGGCTTCAGGCAGAACCCTCTCTTTCTGTTTCGGGAGATAATAGCAGTGCCATTAGTCTTCTTTTTGAGCAAGACTTAGTTGGAGCAGCAGATCTTCTTGATATTCAAAATTGTAGTCTTCTTACTCAGAATGGTGTTCAAATAATCCCAACAACTGATACCACTGTTGGTCGCCTACTTCGGCTTGCAGTTGTGCAATGTCCTCAATTGGCTAAGTCATGGGCTCATTTTGCAAACTGGTGCTACCGTTGGGGAAGAAGAGCAGTTGATGTCACCAGTGAAATTGGAGGGCAGCTCAGTTCTGCTGACAAGGCTTGTGTTCAGGCTATGCTTCCACAAGATTCAAGTTCTTCAGACCTAGAGAGTGTGTTAAATATTTTGGGTCAGACGAGGGCTGTTGCAGATGAAGAGGACCTAGACTTGGATAGTACTAATACCAGTGAAATGATGGAAGCCCAGTTACGCACTGTTGATGTCCTTCACTATGCCAGCTCAGATACTCTTGTGGGACTGGTAGGAGTGTGGCGTGAAGCACAGCAGAGAGTTTACAGCTGTTACCAACTTTCAGCCATTGCATACTTTAAATTTTTACAATTGTGTGGTCAGGAAGAGACTTGCATTGATGACTGCTCCACTGTCACAGCATCTCTGAGACTTCTTCGTCTTGTAGTTAAACATGCTCTCGAATTGCAGTCAGTACTAGAGGCTGGTCTAGCTGCAACTCCTACTGCACCATGGAAAGCTATCATCCCACAACTTTTCTCGCGAATGGGTCATCCTGAGGCATATGTTCGTCGCAGAGTGGCTGAACTTTTATGTAGACTTGCTGAGGATGCCCCACATTTAATCACTTTTCCAGCAGTCGTTGGTGCAGCATCAGGTGGAGCAAGACTGCGTCATATGCCTATGCCAGGCACTGCCAGACTTTTTGGTACATTCCTCTCTCCTGATGGAGAAGTTGAAAGCTTAGAAGAGGAAGATGAAGATGAAGATGACGATGATGAAGAGGAAGAAGAGGAAAACAGTGGAAGTGGACAAGTAGTTCTGAAAAATTGCTTTCTTGCCATGGTTGAAACACTGTCTAAGCAGGCTCCAGAGGCAATCTCCCAAGTGCAGCAGTTTGTCTGTGAACTGCGTCGTATTACCTTATTGTGGGATGAGTTGTGGCTGGGTACTCTGACCCAAAATCAAGCTGAAATTAATCAACGTGTTTCCCAACTTAATGCAGAAATTATTCGTGTGGAACAAAATGCATCACTTAAAACTACTGATAAAGAAAAGCTTATTTCTGAGAAGTATCGCATTATTGTGAAGCCGCTCGTTTTTATTTTTGAGCAACTTCATGCAATTACTTCTGTTACTCCTGAAACACCCCATGAGCGATGGTTCCAAGAAAGGAATGGTAAACTCATTGAATCCATTCTACATGCTATGAAAGAACCCAAGGATTGCAGACGTGCTGAGGAGTGGCATGGTCCTCTGAAGTCACTTCAGACACGTTTGAATCAACGTGCTAATAAACGAGCTGCTCACACTTTAAGAATGGAAGACATCAGTCCCACATTGGCTGCTATGAAAGATACATGTATTGCAATGCCTGGTGTGTCGTCTGGAAAGGGATGTATTATTACCATAGCTTCTGTACACAATCATATCTATATTCTTCCCACAAAAACCAAGCCCAAGAAACTTATGTTCTTTGGGTCTGATGGAAAAGCCTACAATTACCTCTTTAAGGGCCTTGAAGACCTTCATCTTGATGAAAGAATAATGCAGCTATTGAATATTGCCAATACTATGCTGCGAACTCCAGGTACAGAGAACATATATCGAGCTCGGCATTATTCAGTTATACCCCTCGGACCAAGGTCTGGTCTAATTAGCTGGGTTGACAATGTGACTCCTCTATTTGGCCTCTACAAGCGTTGGCAGCAGCGGGAAGCATTAGCTCAAGCAACCAAGAATGGTTCAACACCAGTTGCAGTTAAACGTCCTTCAGAGCTCTTTTACCAAAAGCTTACTCCCAGATTGAAAGAAAAGGGAGTTGGTCTAGACAACAGGAAAGAGTGGCCTGTTGCAGTATTGAGAGAAGTCTTACAGGAGCTTATGTCAGAGACTCCTTCCCAGCTCCTTGCTAAGGAGCTGTGGTGTCACAGTGCAAATGCAGGCTCATGGCACAAGACGTTACAAACCTATTCACATTCTGTGGCAGTTATGTCCGTCATTGGATATATCATTGGCTTGGGTGACCGACATCTTGACAATGTCCTCGTTGATTTGTCAAGTGGAGAAGTTGTCCACATTGATTACAATGTGTGCTTTGAGAAGGGAAAGACACTTCGTGTACCAGAAAAAGTTCCCTTCAGAATGACGCCGAACATTCAAGCAGCACTAGGAGTAACTGGAGTCGAGGTGAGTCACTTTTTCGTCAATTTAGATTTTCGTTTTGAGATGCAATTTTGATACTGTAGTTTGTTGGGGGGATAAATTTATTCTAGTGATATAGATGTAATGATGATACAGCTGCACACTCACAACAAACACTTTAAGTTTGTCCCATTCAAAGTAATTTCAACCCTTTTGAGGTTTACAATCAGTGATTTCATACAAAAGTAAACCCTTTTTTTAAATTCCATATCTATATAATTAAAAATATTCTAAAATAAATATAAAAGAGAAAAGGAAAATGAGAGATGGGTAAAAGGGGTATGAAACTTGTCACAAGCAAAGGAGCCTGATCATGGTATTCTGTGGCGTTAATATACGTAGTTCCTAAGACAGTCAATTGTTGTCTTGTTATCATTTCATTCAATGTGATGGTCCTCCTTCAAGTGCAATTTGTCCAATAGACCCACATCCTGTAGGATCTGTTGTTGGTATCTTGCAGTGCAGTAACTGGCTGAATGCAGAGAGGAACTCAGAGTTCTTCCATGCATAAATCAGAGGATTCATCCATGAGTTTGTCATTGCTAAAGCTAGAGCACTTTTGTAAAGAGTTGATGAAAATGATTGTCGAAGGCAGCCAAAAGCTTGTAGAATAAGAACAGTGAAGAAAGGCATCCAGCATATGGAGAAACTGCCAAGTACAAGCAGCACAACCTGCAAGGATTAATCTCTTTTGGAATTGCCCAAAAATTTTGATGTTGTACTTGAAAAATTATAATAGCAATGCCATTCTGACCTGAATTGATTTTCCATCTGGAGGCTTCCCTTGGTAATTTCCCCATCTTCTTCGGACAGATGCAGCCTCCCTCCAAATCCTCCAATATACCATGAACATTATTATCCAAATTAATGCAAAATTAGGCGTCAGCACTAGCATTGTAAAGGGTACAGGTAGCACTTCATGAAGTTCACAGCTTGGTGCAGGCCAGTTATTCCAATAAAGTGGTGTTGTAGCTATAATCATTGAGTATATCCAACCACTTCCTATAACTGTCCATGCCAACCTGTGAAAGAAGTGAATATGAATATTATATCTATCGTTAAAGTTTGTAGTTGCTCTGGTTGTATATTTTACATACCTCTTAGTAACTCGTGTGCTGTAGTGCAAAGGGTACATAATGTAAATATAACGATCTACACTTATACATATCAAGCTGAATAGTGAGTTGCAAAATGCAAACACCATACAAGTAAATTTTAGCAGACAAGCTATTTCTGAAGCACCCTGGTTGTTATCCCAGTAAAAACTCATGTGATAAGGCAAGAATAGTCCAACAAGTAGGTCAGAAACAGCCAAGCTGGAAAAAAAAAACAAAAAACAATAATGAGATAGTGTGTTAAGTTTTAATGTTACATAAGATTATGGAGGGGGTGTAAAAAATGAATTAAAAATACAATAGTACTTTAAAGCAGTTCTGGCTGATGACAAATTAAATGCCTTTTTACTTTTATATTATTCTTTTCCAATCTTGCAGAATGTTCAATTCATGGCATCTTATGTCTTTGGTGTCTTAAGTCTTTTGGCAATAAGGACCTAAAACTGAAATTTCCTGATTTTGGCTTTGTAACAAACATTTTTCAAAAACAAATTTCAGAAATACAATCTATTTAAACAAACTCGTTTAATTATGTGCCACACTTGTAATTTGACCCAAGGGAGCACCATGAGAAACTTTGAATGCTCTGTGGGATCATAAAATATTAATAGATTTCAAAAGTAAAAAGTTCCTTTGGATTTCTCATCAAATAGGGCAACTTTTTCACACTTTTCCCCCACTATTTCTGTCTCAGTTTCAAAAATCCTTTCTGTATGCCTCACTTGAATAAGTAATCACCTAAACTAAATAATTATACTTACTTAAGAACAAACTGTGATGATGTTGCTCTTGCTAGCCTTCTGCTCAGCACTACAGCACAAATTGTGAGTGTGTTTCCACACAGAATGCATAGAAGCAATAGGCTTTCTACTGTGATCCACACAGTATGGTGCTTAGATTGGTTGACATTTATCATATGCTCATCACTCACATTCCATGCATAGCCAGTAATCTCTTCATTGGTCTTATACAACATAGTTGAAAAGGTCTTGTCCATTTGTCCGTTTCCTGAAAAGAAAAGCTGTCTTGGTCATTAATAGTTAGGTGATTGAAAACTTTTAGGGACTTTTAGGGCTCTTCTCCCCCCCCCCCCTTTTATTACTCTCTCAAAGTTAAAGGGACAATGACCCTGTCATGTGCGTTGTGCGTTATACCCGGTTCGTGGCGAGTAGTTTTGAACCAACCGCCCCTTTCTCTACACACCTGGAAAGGGATCTAAAAGCCGGCCGCTTCCCCGACTTGCTCCGTCCCTTTCCACTCTTCCAGCGTCTCCCGCCACTGCAAGCCACTGCGAGTCACTTACCATTGCCACCGCAGGCAGCCCGTCACCACCACCACCACGTCGTCGGGCTGGGGCAGGTCTCGCGAGCGGCCCTTGTGCCCCCCATGGCCCCCGCGGCCGCCGCCCTGGTCAGCTCAGTGGTCCCCGCGGGGGGCGTACGCGGGCTCGGCGGGGCGGGACGGGACGGGACCGGGCGTGCGGCGAGGGCTTGAACGGAACACTGACTGAGCAGAAGCGCGCTACCGCGCTACCGCACTCCCCCAGGCCCCCGCGCCCCTCCACTCCTGCCTGCCGTGCCCGGGGGGAAGACGCGCGCGGGGGCGGGTGTCGCGAGCTCTCGCGGCGTCAGGCCCATGCCCGCCCGCATCGGCGTCAAACACGGGTGTTGTCGTGGGCCACGCCACACCGCCACGCCACGCCACTGCGGCTGCGTTCTGAAACGACGGCCTTTTTCCGCTGCGTTTTGCACAGAGTGCGAGACGAGCGCTCTCCTCGGCGGACGCGCCCGGGCCGGGCCGCGGCAGCCGCGGTGTCGCGCACTGGAGCCTTTTCAGCCGCGCGGCTAAAACGCGGCGGTGCGGGCCGGGCCGGGCCGCGCCAGCCGCGCCCCGCACGGCAGCCCGTGGCGCGGCCGCGAGAACCTTTGACCCGGCCCGCCCCACCTCTTGGCACCCGCGGCCCGAGCCGTGACACTCTCTTTATTGTGGTGGCGTGGATTTGTCGTGCCGATCGTCTCGCCGCGGTCGAGGCTGTGGCCGGCGCGGCGCGGCGGGCCTCCCTAACTCATCATCTTTCATCTGACGCTGCCGGGACTTCCCTTTTCTCTTACCTTGAATGCCGCACGCTGCCGTGACGTGGCGTGCGGCGCCGCGTCCCCCTTTCGTTGCGAGCCGTACCCGGCAACCCCCGACGCAGCCCCTGGCCCCCTCCTCGATTCTTTTTAAGGCCGCGGCCGTCGTACTTTGCCTCGTTTATGATACCTGTTCGCACCCGGGGCCCGCCGGGCCGGCGGCGTGGTCGGCTGCTCGTTCGCGGAGCGCCGGTCGTGTGTGGACGACCGCGGCGCTCAGCCGCCGGGGTTTGGGTTTCCGCAGCATTGCGGAGAAAATGTGACGAATCGTCAAAATAAATGATGTGGCCGCGATTCATATGCATTTCTCGGAAGGGTCCAGATCGAGTATCGGGGGGGGGGGGGGGGGCTCGTATCCGTCGTATCGCTTCGCTTACTTCGCCCGAGATTGGGCGGGCCCGCGGGCGCGCTCGAACCACGCCGGGGGGCTCGTCTAGGCTAGAGACTAGACTGGACAGCCTGGGAAATTTGTTGCTCCAAGCTCGCTCGCTAGCTCTCTTGGGCTCGGGTAAACAAACGGCCGGCGCAGCGCGGCCCGGGCTCGACGCCGCCACCGTGCGCCCGTGGATCACAGCCGACGTCGCGGGGGGCCAAACCGGGAGATTCAAATCAAACCTCTCGCAGTTTGTTGACGCTTACGTCCGATTCGTATTTTGTTTTGACGCCCGTGTCCCAGTCGGACGCACACATGTCATTTTCTAGTCCCCCCACCCAATCGAGGCCTGGCTGCCGGGCTGCCGGCGGTGTTTGCCGTTTGTTTGCCCGTCCCGAGCCCCTCGGCGGTAGGCACACCCGCCCGACACCCGGTCCTGCCCTGCCCTGCCCTGCCCTGCCCACCCGGCGCGCGCGATATACCGCCCCGTCCCTTCCTCGTGTGTTTTCCTTGCCCTGCTCGGCGCTCGGCTCGGCCTCGGAGAGCCTTGTTATTCTCGACAGTGCTGCGGCGGCGTGGTGGTGGCGGTGGCGGCGCTTCTGCTGGTGCTACAGAGAGGAGGGCCTTCTGCTGCCTGCATTCTCTGCAGCACTCGAAGCGCGGCGTGGCGTGGCAGCAGGGCACGGCGCGCATAAAACAAGCTGCCAGGACTGTTTCGCGTATCGCCATCAGCGGGCGCACTCCCGCCCCGCCCTGCCCCGCCCCGATGGCATGGCCCTCTGCCACCCTCGCCCCCCCTCTCCCACCACACACACACATTTCCCCCTTTCACTTGACTTCCCTCTTTTGGTTCGCAAATTCATCAATCACCAAGCGGCGACCTTGTTCGCGGTCCTCAATATGCACGTCACTAGTCAGGTATGGGCCTGACGGGGTGTGGCGGGGAGGGGCGGGCGGGATGGGGGCGAGGGGAGTGTGTTTACGCCAGTACTGGGTCCCGCGCGGGGGTCGGGCCCGGCGGGGTGCGTTAGAGCAGTGACATGTGCCTCGGCGCCAATATAATTACATCCCGCCCGACGCCGGTCCTTAATGAGTGGGGGTGGAGTGCGGCGGGGCGGGGCGCAGGGCGGGGCGGGCAACCCCAGTCGCACCGATGCGAGCCCGATCCCGCGTTGCCTATCCAGCCGGGGGGCTCCCATGTGCGGCTGAACTCGATGCAACCGTGATGTCGCCTTCGCGGCGGCGGCGGCGTTGGCGGGACCGTCCTGCCACTATCTCGTCGTCTTTGATGTGTTCCGCCACGATGATGAGGAAACGGGTGGTTTTGTGGAGTGCCGTTAAACTTGGCTGATAATGAAGATGAACAAAAAACAAACAAGCAAACAGGTTTAGCCCCCCGAAATGTGTGTGGGTTGCGTCGTTGCGTTTCGGGTGGCCGGTCCGGCCCGGTCCGGCCTTATCGGACGTTTTATGGTGCTGTTGTATCCCCGGCGTGCTGCCGATGCGGTGTCGGCCTTCAGGTACCTTCAGGTGGCGCTTCTCCCATCGCGCGCTCGCGCCCCTTTATCGACTGCGGCTGGGCGCCCTGGGCCCGCGGTGACCCCCAAGCTGGTCCTTATCTGCCCCTCCTGCGCCGTTGCTCGACAAACCCTCCGGCGGAGCGGCTGCAGCAGCCGCTTCCCGCCGGAGGGATGTGGCCCGGAGACACGCTCCTCGGGGCGGGGGTGTAGGCCGACCGGAGCCGGGGGTGACCGGGGATGTGACGCTGACGCTCTGTGACAGACGAGTCGACCTCTAGACGTATTGATCGGTACTCGGCCGTGCGCGGGCGGGTCATCGTGTCGGAGCCGCCGGCACTGGACGGCCTGCTGTCGCCGTACTGATCATTTAGCAAAGTGCCACCCGGAGGGGGGAGGGGGAGGGGGCTTCCCTCCGCTGAGACCTCGCCAATCCACCACAATTCAATTTCCGGTGGCGAACGGCAAGCGCTCTGTCTGTCGGGTGGTGTAGCTACGCCCTAGTGTCAATAGCGGTTCATTACTCCTATCCATAACATTGGTACCATAATCACTTTATCTCGCCACACCAAACCCTCCATTAAAATGATCCTAGGCTAACAAACACATTTTTTCTGACTAAATTTTGAAAATCATGCATTTCACTAAGACCTTCCTTTTTGATGTAATTTTATTTTATGTTCCAGGGCATATTCCGTTTAGCATGTGAACATGTGTTGAAAGTTATGAAAAAGGGTAGAGAAACACTACTTACCCTTTTGGAAGCATTTGTCTATGACCCTTTAATAGATTGGACAACTGGCAATGAAGCTGGATATGCTGGTATGAAAAACATCAATTAGTTTAGCAAATGATATTTTCTTGATTGTTTACTATCATAATTGTTTCTATTCTGCGCAGGTGCTGTATATGGTGGCGGTCAGGCTATCACCTTGGAATCAAAGCAAAGTCATAAAGAACTTGAGCGAGAAGTAACAAGAACAATGTTTTCTATCAGAATAATTGAAATGAGAGCAGACTGGCTCAAAAACCGTGATGAAGTTGTTGTTAGCCTAGGGGACATTGTTACTCTCATTGAAAGATGGGTCCAGTCTTTGACAGAAATGCAGACAATTCAAGATCAGTTACAGGACTGTCACTCACTCTTAGCATTGGTAAAGGAGGCAGAGGTGCAAGTGCCAAATCGGACACATTCCTTGTATACATTGCCCATGCGTTATGCTGGACATCGCCAGTCACGAGATGCACAGGATGCAGCTAGAAGTTGCCTCCTTGAAAAACAATTTGAATGTGATCAGCAATTACAGCAGTACAATGTAAGCATTCACTATATTCAATACCTATTTATTTTGGGGAACTAATTAACAATCTATTTGAATTTTTCCTTTTTATGATTACAGAGTGCTTTGGCATGCCTCCGAAGTCCCCAACTTGCTTCCCTCAGTGCTCCAGTTGACAAAGAAGGGTACATGGTCTTTGACTTAGTGAAAGAATTTCTTCAGAATGCTGGAAAAGGTCAAATGGTTTACCAGTGTGAGCAATGGGAGGCAGACATGGGAAATTTGGCTCAGAAACAGGTGCAAATAATGCGAGGATGTGTTGACCTCCTGAACCAATACTGTGCAGTTTGTGGTCTTCTCCCAGCTTCATACATAAACAAACATCGTTTAGTCTGCTATCAAAGATGGACAAACGCATTGTTAAAAGATTTGTCCATTCCTAGGTACATTTATTGTATTATCTTTTCTTTTACCTTTTTTCACTGTACTTTATACCATTTTTTCTTATCTTTTATTTCCTTTGATCTGCAGATGCCAAGAAGTTGTTGGGGAGTTTGGTGCTATTTTACCCCCTGCCGTTAATGGTAGAACATCTCATCGCCAACAAGTTGTTAACTTTGCATTTGGACTTCAGAATGCTCTAGCTGAAGCTAATATGCGATTGCAGGTTTGTCTTGTTATGTGATGTGACTTCCCTCCACAGACTTTTTGAAAAAGGTTTTATCAGTATTTTACAATTTTATAATTTGTCTATACAGAAAAGTTATTCACTTCTACGAGGTGAGAACAGCATTGACATTGCCATGAGACTTGATAAGGCTTGTGCTGAAGCAGATGCTGCTTTAAACAAATTGCGTATGGGTGATCCAGCAGTGAATGTTGTGTTGGAGTGTGTAGCGGTTACTGCTCTTGTTGCACTAAACAAAAGATTCCTCATGATGGAATCGGCATCTGCAAGTAAGTTTGTTTTTCTTTACAAAAATAAGTGTATTTCTCTGGTGCATCTGATTTATACCATTTTGTATCCAACTTACTTGTTATCAGGTGCAGGAGATCTTCTAGTAGATTTGACTTCTCGGGAAGGAGAATGGTTCTTAGATGATATGTGTCTTATCAGCGGAATGATGACCAGGATTAGCTCTCTAATTCCAGCTCCGACACCTGATGCTCTTCAATTCATAACTCCTATCCATAAAATTTTTGTTGCTCTCCAGGTCAGTATTTTTATTTTCCACTATGTACTTATTACTTATTTGTAAGAAGAGAGAAGAAACTTGTTGCAACTTTTAACCATGATGCATGTATTCTTTCTACCTCTAGGACTTAAATACCAATTTTGCCTCAATTATCTTGCCCGAAGCTGTAGTAGCATTGCAAACAGAAAATCCCAGTGTTATGGCTATGATAGAAGATTTGTGCTCTGTCATTGATAGTGCACCCATGCCATTACAAGATTTGGTTGACCGTTTAGATGTTCATTTAAGCTGTATTGCTATTGGAGTTGATGTAAGGAAACCACTCTCTAAAATATTTCTCTATCTGATGTAACTTATGATACCTTCAGTTTAATGATGATTTTTATTAATTTCCAGTCCCCTCACAATGATGTTCATCATATGGTAGCAGATTTACGTGTTAAATATGAACTTTTATTACAAAAGTCAGGTGATACCAGTTGCAGTAACACAGATGGTGGCATGAGTGCTGGTCAAATGCTGCTAATGGGATTCAATGGATTGTTTGAAAAGTTGTACTTAGACTGCCACATGCTTGCCCCCAAACTCTCAAGTATAAATTCCAACATTGCGACATGTTGGAGGAACCTTGATCATATTCGTGAGGCTAAGGTTTTCTCTGTAAGTTCTCTTCATAATAATTTTTTAAAAGATGTATTTCTTCATAGTCTGACTAAATTATGGTCATAAAATAACAAAGAAAAACGCCTATACTCAACATGCTGTTAACTGTTAACAATTCAACTGTCTTAATTGTTATTCTTTTCTCATTTTAGGGAAAGATGCTTGATGAAAGAACCAGGCCAGTACTTGAAGATATTTTTCTTCTAAAACGTTTGTTAACTATGCGTGAGTTCTTCTGGATGTGCTCTGCTGTGGGTCGATGCTATCGAGGTGATCCTCCAGAAATAGGGGATCCACCACCTCCAATGCTTGTTGATGAAGATAGACTTTTGAAACCAGTTCGGCGCTTCACAGCTGACTTTGTGAGCAGGATGTTGCTAGGAGTTGTAACACATACTTTGGCTGTTGCTGTTTGCAGACTCCTTCAGCGAATGGGTTTAAATGTGACAGGTAATAATCACTTTTTTTCCCAAATTTTCACATTTTTTAAGAATGACCTCATATTTTTACTTTTATGATCTTCTAATGCTTTAATTTGTAGGTGAAGTTGATCAAAGGGATATTGGAGCTGAAAGTAAAGTCCCTTTGGAAGATTTGTGCCATAAGGCTGTGGAACGTTGTTGTGGAATAAGAAGTACTATGCTTGCTCAAGTTTCTGCCCATGTGTCGGCGTTAGAGGCTTGTTGGCGCCATAGAGAAGCCCACAACACCTTATCAACGCTTATTAATCAACAAACTGCTACAGTTCAGCGCCTTCAGCTTGCTCTTACAACTCATTACTGGCTGCATGATGTTGTACTACAAAGTGTGCCAGGAATACCACCACCACCATTGAATCGAGCTGCCTTTTTGCGAGATCTCCAGCGTTCTCATGATGCACTGAACATGTTGCAACCCCGGATATCTGAGTTTGTTGAAGAGCAACGTAGTCTAGTCAGTAGTGTTGAACAGAGATTGAAATGGGCTGCAGGAGCAAATCCAGCTTTAAATGAAGTTTTGTCTGCTTTTGCTTGTGCTGTGGAGGCATTGCAAGAGCGCATTAAAAGAGAACAAGAATTGGCTAATCTAATGGCATCTACATGCGGCAGTATATTGCGTCATGAAATAATGAGATCCAACTGTCCAGCTGGAATGCAAATGGACACAACTTTTCTTCAGCTAGTTGATCAATGTGAGCAAAGTTGTCTTTTAACATCCAAAACTGGAGATGTTTTGAGTCCAGCTGAGGAAAGTTTGTTAAGAATGGTACCATTGGAAGGTCATGTTGACAAGGCTTGGATTCAACGAGGGGAGATTGCCATATCCGACAACATAAATATGCTACAGCAGAAGATGGCTGTTGCCCAAGAAATGGTGTATACAAGTCAAGAAAGCATTAAGACCCAAGTTTCTGTTTTACGTACTCATCTGGCTGCTCACAACCGGCTAATGGGCGATGTTCGTTCTCTTATTAAATCCATGGCCAAATCTGAAGATGGAGCATTTGTTGGTTTAGGAGACTACCTCACACGATATCGTGCTTATTCTGAGCAGTTGAGTTTGTTGACTCGACTTCTCACTTCAACTGATGATCTAGTCCATACTCAGTCAGATACAATCCTGGGACAAGTTCAATTATTGATTGATAATACTGGTAAATATCTATCTAACTGTAACACACTCCATCACTGTGAAATTCATTCAAAGCATTTTTTTTTTTTTTTTTGGTAGCCTGTGAAACAAATGTTTTGCATTGCAAAGGATTCTTTTCAGCTGCAAATTTAATGCTTTGTGGTCTTCAACAGAGCGATTGATTCCTTTGCATTTGCTAAGCATGAGTCTTTTAGAAATCTTACAATGAAGGGAAATATTTGCATTCTACTCTGCTCTGGCTTTGAAAGTTTGTCTCCTTTTCAGGTGCCATATATGAAGATCTGCTGTGCTTTTCTACACCATTAGGGACAGATGAAAATCATGAGCTGGTGGTTGGCAAGCCTAAGAGACCAGTCCTAGTACGTCAAAGTAGTGTGTGTCTCTCGCCAAAGAAAGGGTTACCAAGCTCTGAAAAGGAGTTAGCAAGAGATCCTCACACAGGAAAAGGTGGGCTAACTTACTCCACATCTAATTACTAATAACCTCCAAAGCAAATTAGTTTAGTATTTGCATATCTATATTTTTACTGATGACGAAATATTGAATTGTCTTTTACAGCTGTCCAGGAAAGAAATGCTTATGCTATGAGTGTTTGGAGGAGAGTACGAATGAAATTGGAAGGAAGGGATCCAGACTCTGCTCGGCGTTCAACAGTTGCTGAACAAGTAAGTGCTGTAGTAGAAGTAGGTAGTTTTACCAGTTTTTTCAGTTTTTGTACATTTTCTGATGTTTGCTCTTGAACCGGAACTCGTGTTACAGGTGGACTTCATCATAAGTGAAGCGACCAATCTGGATAATTTGGCCTTACTTTATGAGGGCTGGACTCCCTGGGTTTGAAAGATGACAGCGTCAGAGTTGAGTTAAATCTTCAGCCATTGCAGTCTTACTGCTCGAATCAAAGTCACTGCCCATCAGTGCCAGCTGATTGGGAGAGATGTGGTTCCTCAGGCTTGCGCCTTGTCCTTCTGGACCGGTTATTGTGGGCAAGCGTAAAAATTTGCGCTTCCACAGGCCGTTGAGGGCAGCTTAAAGGGGTTACCCATTTCATGGGAGGTCTTGAAGAATTGAGAAAGTATGGTTTCACACACTCTTGCTAGTGTGCAACAGTTATCATCATAGGTTTTGATTGGTTATTATGTTTGTGTCAGATTTGAAGTTGTTTTTTTTATTAGTATCATTGTCTGAATGTGTAAACATCAGTTTACTGGAAAGTTAAGAAGTGCAGAGCCTGGTAAAAATTAATTTGGCTACAGTATCTCTTTTGATGAGTAATAACATCCTCTTAATATGAAAGTTAAGTCATTTCTACCAACCAAAGAAATTTTTCTGAAATGCTATGAGAAGTTTCCAACTCCCATTGTATTTTCGGGGTTTTTCTTTATGTTGAATCCTCTGCATGTAAATTTTGTATGCTTCCAGATTGTATTTCTGTATGTTTTATTCTTATACATCAGGAAAGCTTCTTTTTGATGTGTGCCAATTCTAGTTTGACAAAGAAGTGCCAAATGACGTGCCAAACATCCTCGTTAACTATATCAGGTTATAGAAATACTGAGTAATAACCGTTTATAAAGATTTAAAACATGGACAGTGACACTACAGTGCTCAAGTACCAGGTTTGTCGGAAGTTATGGACTTGGTCTGTGTGTTATTTTGGCTAAAATTTTGTGTCAGTACTTTCCAGTAGGTACAAAATCATTCTTACTTCCCTATCTTGTCTCATGACAGTTCTCTAGAAGCTGATTGGTTCTCTCATTTAAGCCAAGAATGTACAATCTCAAATAGTTGTGTTTTTTCAGAATGTTTCAAACCTATGCACAGTACCGGGTGTCAGGGTACGACACAATAGTGGTGCGAGTTTTCCTATTCTAGGGGCCATGGCGTCTTATGGACGGACCGAGTAGGCAAACCCGCGCACTGTTGTGTCGTAGCCCTGACACACGGTACATGTAAAGTAAATTGTTCAATCAACCTTTGTCACATTTCTCTATACTTTTCAACTTGTAAATAAACTTCATCTATGGCACAAACATAATAAACATGTGGATGCAAGTTGTCTCCATTCTCTTTGTGCTTGTACTTTCACCCCTAAATGATTTGGATGGGTGTCAGTAAAATGATTGTTTTGAATGCAGTTGCCACAATTGACATTCTATAATTGACACAACAGAGTATTATTTCTGTAACAATTAAAGTGTCATAGGATTGTCTTGACTGAACTGTGGTGTAGCTATTGTACTTGGAGAGAAAGATATTATGTCTGTTTATTTGGAATTGGAAACATTCCAGCTGTGCTGAACCCAAAACAGCACTCAGATTTTAATGAGGCACTGACATTTTTCAGCCTTTCATTAATTTTCTCTCTCCTATTTTCCACTGAAAGTGAAAAAAAATATCTTCAATTCTCAATTTATTTTTTTCTTTTTGTAAGGGAATTTCTTATTTTTCTTATTTTTGTTTACATTTGCACAATGCTTGCCAATTTTGTTACTTTATACAACTCATGGTATCAGATAATAACTCTTGATGTTGATGTAAGCACTCTTGTGCAATAATTAATGCTACTTAAAGTCCTCCAGATGATTTCTCCCCAAGATTATTATAATAAAAATCAAGTAACTAATTTCAATGTTGCCTACTTGTGGGGTTGCAGACCTTCTCTGTTCTGTTCTAGTGAAAAATGCTTCATGTTCATTCATCATCCCTCTAGTACATGTAAAGAAAAAAAAAAGTCCACCGGTATTAATATGTTGTTGTTCAAATACTCCAATCAATGTCAGTTTTTGCAGTGCAATTGAGTATTTTTAGATATTTGACTTTACAAACTTGGGGCTTCAATTTATTTTAGTGTTGCACAGTACTCCTTATTCACCCTGTTTTCTTTTGAAATGTTTGTAAACCAGTTTCATAATGCATGGCAGGTTTTACCCAACCCATTTAAACCTATAATGTACAAGAGCTTATTTTTGCTGATTCTCACAAATTCTAAAGTGAAAGTTTTTAGTCAGAATGTTTAAATGTATTAATCAGACATACATTTTCTTATAACTTGAATTTTGAAGCCTCTTAGAAATGTGTCAAAACCAATTGGAATTGGGTTGGGTAAGACTTTCAACTAATCTATATCATTGACTAGGTTCCATATTCTATGGATCTAAAAACCTGTACACCTATTTTTCAGTTGTATTTCCATTTCTCTCTGTTGCACGCCGTATCTAATGGAAATCACCTTTCGTATTTTATGATCAGACTTAATTTTGCCTTGATTATGAGATGACAAACTCTAATACCCATGTTTTTTAGTACATTGATTTTTTTTCCCCTCTGATGTTTCAACAACTTATTTTGAGTATCAACATTTTTCTTTTAATGTCTGTATAAACTGCCTCCACTGCAGCAAAAAAAAATCATTTTGTTTTTATTTTTGAAGTATGAAGCTACCTCTTTAGGTATTTTAACTTACTGTCTTCTCTAATAGATAGTGATCAAGAAATTTTGATTCTTATGAATAAATATTTGATGTCTATTAGAACAATCGAAATGTGTCTTGATTCATCATTCATTCATACATTGACAGCGCAAACCAAGAAAGTCATGTTCTACCCGCTCTTCTTTTGTTTCTTCCGTTAGCCGAAATACACTATCCGTTTTTTTTCCCTTTCCTCCTGGTTACTGCCGACCGTGATGGTTTTTTGATATGCTATGAAATCGAAATCTCTGGCCGAAACAATGCCGGTTTTCCATTCTGATGGAAAGGAGCGGGAACAGAACGAAGTTTCCTGGAACGGGACGAACGGCCGAAGGGTCAGCCAATAAAGAGGCGCTCTGTGTACAGAAGTACTTTCGTTCCGTCTTGTTACTTCGTAAACACCTCTTGGTTCCGTATCCCCAAAAATCGTTATGTTCTGAAAGCAACACTAACGACAGACGACAGCTTCGGACACAACAAAAGTTGTGTCGTTGTTTCGAGGAGTCAGTACCGAACCGTGGTTGATTGGTGGGGGGTTGTCCCCTACGCTACTCCGATCCGATCCGCTCCACTCCTCGACACAAGCAAATCGAAAAGTGTCAAGCTGCGTTTCTACGTCGTACTCTTCAAAGAGGATGGAGATAATTTTGAAACCCTGTCGGTAAGTCTTCATAGTTTCCTCATTATTCGCAATATTTTGTAGTCTGGCGCCGAGAGAACCTTCTACGGCGCGAGAACTCGAAATCACGTGTGTCAAGAGGTTAGGGGTCGGGCAGGCGGCCGGCCGGACCAACGAAACATCAGAAGGAGATGGGGTAGCATGCGAGAATGCGAAATGTTTTACCGGGTCGGTCGTGTAGGGGGTAGGGTCTGCACGAAGAAGGGGCCTAAGGCCAAGATGCGCGTTTATCGGTGAAAGGCGAAGTGAGGCCGGTGAGGGAGGGCAGGGGAGGGCGGAGTGGAGTGACGGCCTAACAGCGCGGCCCCCCCACGTAGCGGATGCGAAATCCCCCCGGGACACGGGTACGGGGGCTGTCTTGTGGCGTGGCGTGGCTTGGCGGGCTTGGCCCCGCTGCTCTCCCGGCTCTGTGCTTGTTACAGCAGAGGAAATTGAAATGGCTTCTCCTCTCCCGTACGTCCGTACGTCCGTACGTCCACGTCCGACTCCCCCGGCCCTCCCCCCCCAGTGTAACAAGCACGACGAGCACCTCTCGGGCCGCCCAGGCCGCACATGTCTCGTGTCAGCCCCGGTGGCACACGGCGCCCCGCGGCGCGGCGCAGCACGACGGGCGCGCGAGAAATAAGGCCGGCAGCATGGTGTCTAGCTGACTAAATAAGGATGGAGCAAGAAGAAGAAAGGAGACGAGCACAGCGGCGCGGGCTCAGCTCCGGCAGACGGACGGGTCGGATTTCGTTTCCCGCGTGTCACGGCCGGTGGCGCCTTCCTGTGGTGGGCCGGGCCGCGGCTCGCGGGGATTCTCAATGGGCGCGACTGAGGCGGCCAGAGGGGCGGTGGTCACGCGCGCGGGCAGGCGTGCCGTGTAGGCGTGTCCAAACACGGGAGCCAGGGCCCGCGCTCTCCCGCCCGCTCACCTCACGCCCCTGTCAGCACGGCTCTCCTGCTGCGGACAATTGGCTTGCTCGATGGAGGGGCGTAGCGTGGGGGGCGTATATCTGCCCGTGGCGTGAAAGTCCGAGAGAGACAGGACGATCGCGTTGCGCGCAGCGGCCGGCCGCTGCCTCGTCTCGTTTGCTGATCTGGAGCAGCTACGAAAGACGGCCGCGGTCGCGGGAAACGTACCGACAGCCTCGCATGCCAGCGGCCGCAACAGCTGCAGCACCCCACTTCACGTATCAGGTGTGTGCGGGTCTGACGCGGCCGCCCCCCCCTCCCCCAACCCTACCCTCCTCGCGCACATTGAGTTGTGGGGGCGCAAGTGGACCGTGGCGTCAGAGTCCGGCTGTCGTCCGATCCAGTCCGCTGTGTGGCCAGGGCCCTTTGGTATTCCACTCCCACTTTTTTCGACATTCAATTACCCCGAAGGTCCCATAACGGAAAACAGCAGTCCAAAGTGGCCTTCGCGTTTCCCTCTGCTTATTTCAGAATTTCTCCCCCCCCCCTTTTTCTCTACCCATTCCTCGGTCTCTCTCGCTCCCCCGTTCTCTCACCTCCTCTTCTCTACTTTTCCTGACGTCTGCAGTTCTTTTGTATATATATATATTCTCGTGACATTTTGCTCGGCAAGTAAATCCAAAGAGAGGTTGCCGTCCCGGCCGGGCCGTACTCTGCCCAATCGCTTCTGTCTCGCAATAAAT